CCCGGCGTCGCCCCGGCCACCAGCTCGGCCCCCGACGCCTCGCCGTCCCGGGACAGCTCGCCACCGAGGGGGCCGGGCGACGGTGGCTCCGGGCTGGCGGATACCTGGCGGCGGAAAGCGCCATAGCCCAGACTGGGTGGCGGCACCCGAAGGAGCGTGGGGCGAGGCGGAGGCGGCTTTTTCCCGCCAGCGGGGGCCTGGCCCGCGCCCCCAGGCTCTTTCACCGTCCCAGCCGGACTCGGGCTGCTCTCGGGATTCTCGGACGGCCGCTCCTCCGCCGGGGTAGGAGGCTTTCCCAAGGGCTCCATGGGGAACGCGCCCGACGCCGAATTCTCCCGACGCCGCCCCGGTCGGCTCCACCCCGTGCGCTGAGCCGCGGAGCGAGGCGAGACCGCGCGCACCTGGGCCAGGTAGGGAGTGAGCCAGGCGGGGCTGGTCGGAATTGGTCCAGCCCGGCTTTGGCGAAGCCACGCCCCCGACCCGCCCAGGACCCCGCGGTGATTGGCTGCGCCGTTATGTTGGCCACACCTCCCGCGCCAGCTCCGCCTTCTCCGGGGCGCCGAGGACCCGCGCGCTGAGGAAGCAGCGGCCACCCGGGGGGCCGAGCTCCTGGGGGAAAGCAAGCTCGGGGCGCACGCCTACGGCGAGCCCAGAGCCCCGCCCGACGCGCCCCTCCGCCTTATCCCTGCCCCCACCGTTGCCCCCTCCAGCCCTCAGGGTTCAGATTTTCGGAGTTACAGCTTTGGCCCCGGGATCTCGGAAAACTCTTTCGGTCCGGAGGAAGCGGGCGGCCCGCGAAAAGCAACAGAGCGGGTTGTGCCGACAATGTAGTAGGAAAAGGGGAACCACACCTGAGAGGACGACCCCTTCCCCACGCGCTCAGCCCGACTAACCTAACTCACTGAAAGCCAGGGAGCGAACGAACGCGAAAATGGGTGTTTTCGCACATAGCGCGAGGAGCGGGACCCTGACAAGTGCGCGCGGTGCCGCCCTGTGAAACACCCTGTAGACCTGGAGGCTCGATCAGGGCGGTGCTTCACTAGCCAAGGGGGGCCAGTGAGCATCAAGCCCCCACTACCGCTGGCCTGGTAACATCAGCTCCTCGTTCGTTCTTGCTTACCCCCCCCCTCACTTCCCCGTCGCTGGCGGGGCTAACATCCGCTCCTCTCCCCTGCACCTCTTTTCGTTCTTGCTCCCCCCCCTTCCCCGTCGCTGGCCTGGTAACATCAGCTCCTCGTTCTTGCTCCCCCCGCCCCAACTTCCCCACCTTAGTCCTTGTTGTGCTCGTTTATCCTTTCTTGGACACAAACCAGAAAGCCAGGCACCAGCGGATCCAAGATGCACGTAAGAGTAAGACAAGTTAAGCCAGAATCTCGCGGCCACAGCTGACACCGCGCTCACCTGTCTGCGGCAGGGCGCTCTGGTCCCGCCAAGTCTGGGAGGAGAGGGGCCGCGTGCAGGCCCTGGGAGACCCTGCCTACTTCTCTGATGTCCTGCTGATGTGTGGACCCTCTGGTCCTCACTTCCCCTAGGAGGCCCTGTTTCTCCCCAGCCCAGGGGGATGGCCCTTGGGAGAGCGCTCTCAGGAGGATGGCTCCTGTTTAAACCTAATTTCCTTCCCCAACGCTTGTCTCACAAGTTTCATTTTAAGAGCAGTGAGTACCCAGGTCCCAAACTCCTGTAACAGCCAGAGGGGAGAGATCTGGAACAGGTTCTTCCTTACAGCCTCAGACAGAACCATGTGACCTTTGACTTTCGATAACCAGGCGACCCTGTGACCTTTGACTTTCGATAACCAGGACATTGAGAAAATAAATGCCCGTCGTTTAAGCCGTTCAGTTTGTGATCAGCTCTGGCAAACCAATCTAAGTCCCCTGTCCGGATGGTTGCCATGGGACCACTCTGTAGATGGGGGGTGTCTCTGCACTGCCTCCCCTCACTGGGATGGACTCAGGGCTCCTCTGATCTTGATCTGAGAGAACAGAGCTGGGAGCAGTTGCCCTCACCCCCGCCAGGGACGGCTCTCCAGAGAGCAGATCCCTAAGTTACTCCTCGGAGCCCTGGAGTATCTCTGGCTTGCTCCTCCGTCTGTGGAATTCATCACTACCTCCCTTTTGTGCCAAGTTAGTACGGCACGTCCTCCCCGGCGAGGTTGGGAACCCAGGTCCTAACCCAGAGGGTCAGCCCCCCCTGGTGGTGCAACAGGGTAGGACACAGCACTGCAAGCGAGCCCAGGTGTTTCAGTTTGAGTTCAATTCCAGCGCTTGTTCCGCGTGTTGCGGCAGACCTCTCTGGTCTCAGACCACCCTCAGCAGTGTACTTCATCCATCTGCCTGTCCTGCTCCCCACTCTGTCTCTGGTGAAGCCTCTCAC